CCTAACTATTCTATGATTCTATGATACTGAGATGGTTGGATAGAGAGATACATGGAAAAACATGCCCAGAGCAGCTGGTAGACAGATGTCATGGAAAAATTACGGAACTTTCACAGAGTGGACAAAGAAAAGCCCTTTGTTCTGTCCCACTGCTTACTTGAGCAACTGATACGACAGGCATTCTTGGATCCAGTGGTCTTGCCATCCTCACACCAGTATTTACTGTTGATCTGAAAGATCCCATAGTCCCTGCTTGGACCATTGTTATTAACAGCTTCAGTGTTGTAACTGCTCTCATGTTTCACCAGGCAGACCCCTGCAGGAGGAAAAGAGATCCTAGAGGAGGTACAGCAGGGTATGCTCAGGGTAAATAAGGGTGGTATAAGCAGAGAGGTAAAACAGGAGCGCATTATACTCACAGTCAGCTACGGTTTTGCCCACGAAGCCCTCAAAGTCATGACCACGTAGGGTCTTCACCAGGTCACATCGGGAGAAGACTTTCGCCTGGGTGCCTGGCAGAGCCAGGCCAAGGAAGACAAGAAGAAAGCCAACAAAGAGCACTGACTTTCCCATAATGCAGTCCACAGCAAGGAAGTACCAAAGCAACTTGAGCTCTGTCTGTTCAGGGCTGCCCTCAATGCCAGCCTTTTATTCCTGCTCCTAGGAGGAGGAACAACCAGCTAGCCAAGCAAATCTGGGAAGTGTCAAGAAGCCTTTACCGTAAGAAGCCAATAAAGGAAGTGGGCCAAAAGCCAAAAAAAGTTCTGGAAAGATGCCAGTACCTATTTCACCAGCCCAACGATGTCTTGTGCATGCCACAGACAACACAGCAATCCCCACTTTGATACTCTCAAGAGTGAAGTAAGAAAAACCTGTGGTTTGAGATACAGACAGCAGAATAGGTGAAGTAAAACCTGTGCTCACAAACAAAGCAAACTAAAGAATTAATACACCACTTCCCATCAGCAGGACAATGTTTAGCCACCTCCAGGGCTCTGTCATACCTCAGGAAGGCAAATGCCATCACTCCAAACATCCTCCCCTAGTCCCACAGTCATTCCTACTAAACGTGGAGGGGAAGAGGACAAATCCAGATGACTGAGGATGTTCTGACATGTACTGATAAGCCATAGCTCACCCAAACCTAAAGTCCAAAAATGGCCCAGAGAGGAGGAAACTCCCAAAAGATGAGCGTGCATCCCAGAGTACCTCCCTTGTAGACAGGGAGGTGCAAAGACAGTGTCAGAGAAGAATTTATTTACATACTGGGAATTCAGTTGTGCCAGGGAATGGGTGTGCAAAATGATCATGACTATTAGGATGATTGGTACAGAATGTGCCCTTCCCATGTGGAAGTGCTAAACACTGGTTGTATTTCTGTCCCCAGCAAAAGCTGAGAAGTAAGGATTTCTCTGTGTGAGGTGATGAGTTCCAACGGCATCAGCCCACCTCACAAGCGTGTCCAGGTCCCTCTGGGTGGCATCCCTTCCCTCCAGTGTACCAACCGAGCCACACAGCTTGGTGTCGTCGGCAAACTTGCTGAGGGCGCATCAATCCCACTGTCCATGTCACTGACAAAGATGTTGAACAACACAGGTCCCAACACCGATCCCTGAGGGACACCACTCGATACTGGTCTCCACATGGACATTGAACTGTTGACCACAACTCTTTGCGTGTGGCCATCCAGCCAGTTCTTTATCCACCAAGTGGTCCATCCACCAAATTGATGTCTCTTCAATTTAGAGACAAGGATGTTGTGCAGGACAGTGTCGAATGCTTTGCACAAGCCCAGGTAGATGACGTCAACTGCTCTGCCGCTGTCCATCAGTCCTGTAGCCCCATCATAGAAGGCCATCAAATTGGTCAGGCAGGATTTCCCCTTAGTGAAACCGTGCTGGCTGTCACCAACCACCTCGTTGTTTTTCATGTGCCTCAGCATTCTTCCCAGGAGAATCTGCTCCAAGATTTTTTCAGACACAGAGGTGAGAGCTGAGGTGAGAGAGAGGTGTCACTGTCTGTTATGCAACACTACTGCTATCACAATCCCTTTTCCAGTTGGGCAACGTCCCTTAGATCAGCCATCTCACCAACCCTTCCTTTAACAACTCAAGTCTTAACTCCTTCCTGTAACCAGTAACTTCCTTGCCCAAGTCCACCCTGTGCCTGGAAGGAACAAGTCCCACTCAAACATGGAAAATTCCCTCCCGTTGCCACCACTCCTGCATGGTGGAGAGCACAACCTACATGGTGGAGCATCTGGGTGCACCTGGCAGGAGCTGCAGTGGAAACTCTTCCTCCATACACGTGTCTGGGACTTTCAGATCACTGAGTGGGAAGACATCAGACTACCTATGGGAAAGAGACCTCAGCCCTCAAGGTAAAAAATGCTGGAGATGGGAAATATTGGTGCTGTGGGAGGTCATCTCCAGGACAAAATAGTCAGATGTCCACCTCACACTGGGCTTCTCCTGTCATGTTCTCATTGCCTGTAAAGAGTTCTCCCATCTCAGTTTTACCGACAGAAGTACAATGAGGTAAACCAAAGAAATGACAATTGCTGCCTCTGCTTGCTGAGTGTTGTTTGGGTGAGCAGGTCACAGACACAGAGAAATGCTAGACCAGGGAGTTCCACAAAGGCAGAAATGTCACCCGAAAACTGAGCTGTACTCCAGCAACTCTGTATTTCTTCTCAGCATCTCCACCAGCCAGTAGCTCCTGTCACCCTCCAGAATGCCAGGTGGGCCATGCCACGGTTTGCCAGACCCTGCCAGGGCCCCTGAACTTCCCAGAACGCCTGGCGGGCTGTGCTGGGGTTTTCCCTAAACCAGCAGGGCCCCTGGGCTTTCCACCTCCCGGAATACTTGATGGGCTGGTGCAACTGGATGCTTACGCAACAGGGCTTGAGGGACACTTGTGATTACTGGAGAGGTTTTAAGAGACCTGCTGGAACTCAGGGCAGCCCTTAGGCCAAAGGGTGCAGGGGAGGCTCGGGCAAGGTCAGTTGAGTTGGTGAGTTGCCTGGCCTGGGGTGTGTTTGTTTTGTTTACTCCTCCCTCCAGTCAGCTCTTCAGGAACTTCCTGGCTGGGGACCCAGCTCGCCTCTAGCTGACTGGGTGCCTGCTGCAGTATCTGTTTGGAAGTTTCCATCCCACCACTCCCAGGCAGCCATCAAGCAGGAGACACCTCACATCCACCAAAGGGGCTTCCTGTCCTCACCGATGGTCCTGGTGCTCAGCCGCCATGGGGAATCACACCTGGCACACTGCTGTGCTGCAGCAGCAGTGGTGTTGCTGGACTCCTGTGCAGTGCCAGCGCTGTGCTTCAGCTGTGAGGCAGCAGTGGCTGTGGCTCCAGCAGCTCCCTCCTGTGCTACCACTGCTCTGACATGGACCCCACCAGCACCAACACCTTCCCCAGAGCTCTCCCCAGGACCTGCTGGTCCATCCTGCAGCCCCACTCAGCTTCTGCCTGGAGCCCAGCAGGAGCACAAAGGATCAAGGAGAGCAAGAGACGAACAGGAAGGAGGATGGGATACAGTAAGATACAGAATTAAAACAACTAAATAGTAACAGTGATCAAGACAAGGGGTAGAGAGAGGATGAACAGATACACAGAGTGACATGTACAGGAACAGGGAGGAAAGAACACCAGAGAACAGGCCACAGAAACTGGGGGAAGGGTGGCCATGGATGCAGATCAGGACAAGGAGATGGAAAAGAAAAAACAGTGGTGGGCTGCATGACAGAGGATGAAAAAAAAAGAGGAAGCAGGACACAAGAATAGAGAGATACAGGGAAGCAAAACCAAAAATGCAGCAATAGGGAACAAAGAGGGCCAGGATAGAGGAAGAGAGGGACCAGAATGCAGAAGAGAAGGCCCCAAGAGAGGGACCGGAATGCAGAAGAGAAGGCCCCAAGAGAGGGACCGGAATGCAGAAGAGAAGGCCCCAAGGGCCTGGGACTCATTGCAACTCTCACTGCTGTGGGGAGAATCTGATAATTCAGAAGGTTTTCTCCTTCTCCCTTCCTCTTCTGTATCTGGTTGCTTGGCTGTCCTTCACCTAAGAGAATACATGGGTATCTCACAGCTCTTACAGCATGAGGCTTCCTAGACACACAGCCTCGCTCGGTCATGCACTGTGTGGCTGTCCTGCACTGTTAGTGACACAGACCGACTCTGCAGCGCACGCTGCTGCTCTGGCCTGCTGCAGGCTATGAAGAGGGATCCCTTCTCACCCGGAGAGGCAGCTGCCAGCTCGATGGCCTTCAATTGCTGCTGCTTTACCTTTCTCTGGCCTCTCCAGCTTCAGCCGTGGCATTTCCTGGCCCCAGCCAGTAAATGCTCTGCCTGTCCCTCTGTGCCCCCACACCACAAGGACAGACAGGCCAGGCAGAGACAGCCCACACAAGCCTGAAGCAGGTGCAGTCAACGGCATCCTCAGGGGGGAAACTGACAACATCCTCCTCTGACAGGGAAAGCAGCAGAGACTGATACTATCACAGCTCGCCCCTGGCTCAGTCACGTCCTTCCACGGGAGCTTCTGGAGACACCTCGAGGCCCAACCCGCTGCCTCACAACAGGGCTTGGGGCTGACCTGGGGCTTCGGAACAGGCTTCAGGGGCAGTGCTGGGGCTGCGGGAGGCCCAGGGTCACTCCCCAGGGCTGCCCTGCGCTGTCCCCC